CATAGGGCAAGTAGGTTAATGTACGATGAAACATAGGATGTCCTATGTACTTTATGAACTTATGGTACTAATACATGCTAATGTGGAGGAGCACTAATGCACGAAATACATAGGAAGTAAGAAAGTTTTATTGATACTGACAAGGCACTTGAATTTTGTTCAAGTACTAGACAGAGAGTAGTTTAAGTAGAATTTCAGCTTTGGTGCTGATGGTGGGGCAAGGGCCTCCTCTCTGATGTCCCAGGGAGAGTTGATCTCCATTTCTGATTTACAAGATCAGGGTAATAATCTACACTACGGGGGCTTTCATTTGAGAATTTTATTTTCAATTAGGCTTGCAAGGGGTATGAGGATAAGAATAGCGGAGAAGTAAAGAATGGATGCTACTTGGCTGATAGTAATAAATGGGTGTTCTACTGGTTGTCCTCCAATTCATGTAAGTGTGAGGAGGTCTGCGATGAGAACTCAGAACAGGATCTGGCTGATGGGTCGAAATATTATGCTGTGTTGTTTAGAAATGTGGAGTAGAAGAATAATAGCTAGGACTAGGATTGAAATGACTAGTGCTAGCACTCCTCTCAGTTTGTTTGGCATAGAGCGTAGGATGGCATAGGCAAATAAGAATACCACTCAGGCTTAATGTGAGGAGGAGTGTTAAGGGGATTAGCAGGAGTATAGTTATCTGGATCTCCAAGTAAGTCAGGGGAGAATAGGGCTAGAAGAAGGAGAAGTAAAATTAGTATGAGAAATCCTTGGGCATCTTTAATTGTGTAATAAGGATGAAAGGGGATTTTGTCTGAGTTGGAGGGGATTCCTAATGGGTTGTTAGAGCTGGTTTTGTGAAAAAAGAGTAAGTGAATTATGACTAGGGCTGTGATAATAAATGGTAGAATCAAACGAAATGCGAAAAAGCAGGTGAGTGTGGCTTTGTCTGCTGAAAATCCTCCTCAGATTCATTCAACTAAGGTTGTTCCGATATATGGGATTGCTGATAGGAGGTTAGTGATTACGGTTGCCCCCCAAAATGATATTTGTCCTCATGGGAGGACATAACCCATAAATGCTGTGGCTATTACTGCGAATAGGAGGATGATGCCAATGTTTCAGGTCTCTAGGTATGTGTATGATCCATAGTAGATTCCGCGGCCTACGTGTATGTAGAGGCAAATAAAGAATATAGATGCTCCATTGGCATGGAGATATAGAATAAGTCAACCATAGTTAACATCTCGGCAAATATGGGTTACTGATGAGAATGCTGTTGTTGTGTCAGAGGTGTAGTGTATGGCTAAGAATAGGCCAGTGAAAATTTGAATTATAAGGCACAGGCCTAGTAGAGAGCCAAAGTTTCATCAGGCAGAGATGTTTGATGGAGCAGGAAGGTCAATTAGGGAGTGGTTAACAATTTTTAATAGGGGGTGGGTTTTGCGAATGTTGGTCATTAGGTTCTTATAGTTGAAAACAACGATGATTTTTCATGTCATTAGTCATGGTTCAAGTCCATGTGAGAACTATGACATACGTAGTGTTTTTATTAAGTGTAATGTTTGTGATGGGGTTTGTTGGGTTTTCTTCTAAGCCATCACCAATTTATGGGGGGCTTGGGTTGATTGTTAGTGGTGGGGTCGGGTGTGGTATTGTTTTAAGTTTCGGGGGTTCATTTTTAGGTTTAATGATGTTTTTAATTTATTTAGGGGGGATGTTGGTAGTTTTTGGGTATACTACTGCGATGGCAACTGAGGAGTATCCTGAGACTTGAGGATCGAATGTTATGATTTTGGGTATATTCGTTTTAGGGGTGTTAATAGAGGTAGGCTTGGTTGTGTATATAGTGATGAGTGATGGGGTTGAGATTGTGGTTGATTTTAAAAATATAGGGGATTGGGTGGTTTTTGAAGGGGACGAGGTAGGATTAATCCGGGAGGATTCTATAGGGGTGGCGGCGTTGTATAGTTATGGTAGTTGATTGATGGTTGTTGCGGGTTGATCTTTATTTGTTAGTATTTTTATTGTTATTGAGATTACTCGTGGGGCTAGGTTAAAATAAATAGTACTAAGAGTAAAGAGATTAAGAAAGATAGGAAGTAGAGTTTAATGAGGCCTTTTTGTGAGGATACGGAGGTTGATGCGAAAATTTGAATGTCTGAGATATTTTTCGGGATCGCTTTTTCAGTTCAGGTCATATCTAGGAGTAATGTGGCTATGTTTTGGCTAGCTGAAAGGTTTAGATAGGGTAGAATACGATGAATTGTCATTGGAAAGAACCCTAGTATGTTTGAGAAGTTAAAGTATGGAGATTGTGTAGTTATTTTTAGACTAAGGCTGAGTTGGTTAAGTTCTATTGCAATAGTAAAGCCTATAATGGTAACAAATAGAGCAGTTATTTTTATATATAGGGGTATAGTTATTTGAGGGACATTGTTTGGTGTAATAAGGTTGGAAATTAAGAATCCTGCAAAAATGCTTCCTAGTGCAAGGCGTTTAATAGAGTTGATGAGTAGAGGGTTATTTTCGTTAATAATAATAAGGGCTGGGTAACGGGGTTGACCCAGGAGGGCGAAGAAGATAATTCGAGTGCTATAGACAGCTGTTAGGGATGTGGCAATAAGAGTGATGATAAGGGCTCAGGCGTTGGTATTAGACGTGTTTGCTGATTCAATAATTAGATCTTTTGAGTAAAAGCCTGTTAGGAATGGTATACCTGTGAGAGCTAAACTGCCAATTGTAAGAGCGGAAGATGTTAAAGGTAGTGTTTTGTACAGGCCTCCTGTTTTTTGGATGTCTTGTTCGTCATTGAGGCTATGAATAATTAGTGGGAGTATTGTAATATTGTTATCTGTAATAAATATTTGTTGAAACTCTCATGTGTTGAGGTTAATAGCAAATCAGGCTGTGGCTATAATAAAGCCAATATCTCCAATGTGATTATATAAAATTGCTTGCAGGGCTGCAGTATTAGCATATGCTTGGCCATGCCATCAGCTGATGAGGAGGAAGGATATAATTCCTACTCCCTCCCACCCAATGAATAGTTGGAAGAGGTTATTGGCAGTAACTAAAATTAGCATGGTAATAAGAAATATTAATAAATATTTGAAGAATTGATAATTTTAGGGTCTGAGTGTATATATCATATGGAAAATTCTATAATGGATCATGTTACAAAAAGTGCAATTGGGGTGAAGAGTATGGAAAAGTAATCTAGTTTAAAGCTGGATATTAGTTTTAGGGTGTGAATTTTTATTCAGTGTCAGTTGGATACTATTATTTCTTGATTTGTTTCAATAAAGATTAGTGTTGGGATAAGGCTAATGATAAATGTGTAAGATACCGAAGTTTTTATGTAGAAAAGATAGTTAGTATTATTAAAAATGCTGGTGAATGAGGCTACAATTGGAAGGACTAGGATAATGATTGAGACAGCTACTGAAGTGGAGAGTTAATTATTTTATTTGGAGTTGCACCAATTTTTTTGGCTCCTAAGACCAACGGATTACTTCTATCCTTTAAAAGTTGAGAAAGCCATGGGGTTAGACATGGGAGCATGAATTAGCAGTTCTTGCAGACATTCTCGGTAGATAAGGAGGTGCGGTCTCCTATTATTAGACTCACAATCTAATGTTTTTGTTAAACTATATTTACAGAATATTGGGCCTAAGATGATTTTTGGGCTAATTGATAGTAGAAGAAGTGGGGCTAGGTGAAGTACTATAAGAGTATTTTCTCGGGTGAATGTAGGGGAAATGTTGTTTGTGTGATACGTGAATTTGCCTCTTTGGTTGATAAAATGTAGAGGGAGTAGAGTGCTGTAATTAGAACATTAGTCCCTATTAAAATAATACTGAGATTAGATCATGAAAAGGATGATGAGAAGCTCTCCTAATAAGTTGATGGTAGGTGGTAGTGCTAAGTTAGGCTGGCAAGTAATCATCATGCTGCTATTAGTGGCAGGATGGTTTGAAGCCCCCGGGCTAATAATATAGTTTGGCTATGAATGCGCTCGTAGTTGGAATTGGCTAGGCAGAATAATAATGAGGAAGTAAGGCCATGTGCGATTATTAGAGCGGTGGCGCCTATAAAGCTTCATGGGGTTTGAATTAGAATTGTGACAATTACTAAGGCCATATGACTTACTGAGGAATAACCGATAAGTGATTATAAGTCTGTTTGCCGGAGACAGATAGAGCTGGTTATAATTATGCCTCAAAGGGAAAGTATAAGGAATGGGTAGGCGGCCAGCGCCGCAGCTCAGTAGGCTAATCCTCCACCTTGTCAGCACCGGCACACCGGGTTCTGGTCCCGGTCGGGGCGCCGGATTCTTTCCTTGTTGCCCCTCTTCCAGGCCAGCTCTCTGCTGTGGCCCGGGAAGGCAGTGGAGGATGGCCCAAGTGCTTGGGCCCTGCACCCCATGGGAGACCAGGAGAAGCACCTGGCTCCTGCCTTCGGATCAGCGTGGTGCGGCGGCCATTGGAGGGTGAACCAACGGCAAAAGGAAGACCTTTCTCTCTGTCTCTCTCTCACTATCCACTCTGCCTGTAGGGGTGAAAAAAAAACTTCCTGGTAAGTGACCAAAAAAAAAATCTAAAAACAAAAAAAAAGCCCAGCACCACAACAGAAACCACACAGCCAACCAACCAACCAACTGAAAATAAGCCTCAAGAAAATGAGTCCAGATTCACATATGTACAAACTAAATATTTAGGTTTAAGTAACAACATTCTAATCAGTTTGAATGCCACGTGGATATTTTTGGCTTTTGCTCTAAAATTCCTTTGCCCTACTATTGTGATCACCTCTTCTCTGAAGTGCTTATTGAAAATCAGGCTGTATGATATAAAAGTCTGGATTTTTAAAATCTTCTTAAATGTAGCTTGACTCACTAGATTTAAAATCCCATAGGTAAATAATAATAATCAAAATTTGAATTTTCGTTCACATTCTTGAATGTATGTGGTATGATGTGTTGTGATTATTCATCCATATCAAAAATGATATGTCTGACACCTGCTTTGCAGGCAAAACAATGGAAGCCTGATGCTGGTGGAAAGGCAGCTTTAGTCTGCTGAGAGAAAATGAACTCCACATCAGAATTCTGTAATACCTGCAGAGAAAGAAAGAATATATTTTTAGAGCTTTATAAAAAGGATGGAAGAAGAAGTTCCAATGACTAGCAAATATATGAAAAAAATGCTGAATATCACTAGCCATGATGGAAATGCAAATCAAAATCACAATGAGGGGCCTGCACTGTGGCACAGCAGGTTAAAGCCCTGGTCTGAAGCACCAGCATTCCATATGGGTGCCGGTTCTAGTCCCGGCTGCTCCTCTTCCAATCCAGCTCTCTGCTATGGCCTGGGATAGCAGTAGAGGATGGCTCAAGTCCTTGGGCCCCTGCACCCACTTGGGAGATTCAGAGGTTCCTGGCTTCAGATTGGCGCAGCTCTGGCCATTGTGGCCATCTGGGGAGTGAACCAGCAGATGGAAGACCTCTCTCTCTGTCTCTACCTCTCTCTGTAACTCTGTCTGTCAAATAAATAAAATAAATCTTTTTAAAAAATCACAATGAAAGAAGCTCCTAGCTCCTGGCTTCGGATGGACCAAGCACAGGCCATTGCAGCTATTTGGGGAGTGAACCAGTGAGTGGATGGAAGACTCTCTCTCTCTGTCTCTTTCTGTCTGTCTGTCTGTCTCTCTCTCTCTCTCTGCCTCTCTGTAACTCTGCCTTTAAAAATAAATAAATTTTTAAAAAAAGAAAAAAAAACCTTTAGAAAAGGAAAAGAAGACCTCTCTCTTCTCACTCTGCTCCCTTTGCTTTGAGGCCTCTTGTGGTTGTGTGGTCACCTCTCTGAAACACAAGGCAGCTTTGTGGACATCACTGATGATGCTTGTCAGCAGGGATCGGGCCACACTGCCAGACTGCTTTGTTAGTCATCTCAACTGTCCATGTCCATTGCAGCTGCTCTGGAACTCATAGGAAGATCTCAGTTTTTGCAAACTAATGGAAGAACCACTTGGGTAAGAGGGAGTTTGTTACAGGGTTTTCCGACAAGTTAATGCGTGGAAGTTACATCATTAGAACAAAAGAATGCCTTAATTCTATGTTGAAAAAGAAGAGTGTAAAGTGGTTTTCTGACAGTAGTCCTCTACTGTCCTTAGACTAGAGGAAGGTTTGTCCATCTTTAATATTAATGAATGTGTTAGCATTCTAATTGCGTTTAGAATTCAAAGAGTAAAAGTCCTAGAAATTGCTAAGATGCTTTACTCAGTAAAGATGCCTAGAATACTTGGAAAATCAGAAAACTTAACTTTTTTTCAGTTGGTGTGAAATTTTTCATGTGATTTTTGCTTCTGTGCATTTATTAAAAATATTTATGCAAAATGTTTACACAGTGCCTGGCACTGGATAAATGTTGGCTCCTTTGTGTCATGTGAAGCATAAAAATTGCATGCATGAAGTTATTTCTTCAGTAATCTTTAAAAAGAGAATCTTTGCTTTCCCATTTCATGATTTTTTTTTCTCCCTAATGCTTAAAGAAGCATTTCTCAAACTCTTCAGTAATTTTGATGTGATTGGACACTTTTATCTTAGTCCAGGTTTAATAGACAGCACAGTCAGTGCTCAATGTCAAAGTTATTTGGGAGGGTGGTTTTATTAATCAATTCAGTTAATGATTATATTCACAATCCTTAAAACTCTTGTGCTTTGATAGAAATAGTTTTTCCCCTATTTGAGCTGGGACTTACACAAAGAAATGAGGTAATAGGTATGCCAATTACTCTGATCATTTTATACACATTTATGCACTCATAGCAATGTCACACTGTACCCCAAAAATATGTATGATTACTACATGTCAGTTAAAAATAAAAATATATTAAATTTTAGAAGTAATTTTTTGTTTCTACAAAAAGAAAATGCTGTTGGAATCTGTAGTGGAATTTAGGAGTTGTCTCCAACAATAGTGAGCCTTTGAATCCATTGATATTGAGACTCACATTTGTGAACAAGAGGATAGCTCTCCATTTAATTCCTTCTGATTTCTTTCATATATATGCATGTGTATGTATAAATATATATACATATATATATATATTGTTTGTACTTTGGATTATTAAAAATGGCAGCTTTTAAAAATTAATTTCCAGTAGTTCCTTGTCACAAAAATAGTTGATTTTTAAAATTCATTTGTTTATTTGAAAGGCAGAGTTTACAGAGAGATGGAGGGAAATGGGGAAGGTAGAGAGCTTCCACCAATTCACTCCCCAAATGGCCACAACAGCTGGAGCTAGGCCAGTCTGAAGCCAGGAGTTGGGAGCTTCTTCCTGGTCTCCCATGTGGGTACAGGGGCCCAAGGACTTAGACCATCTTCTGCTGCTTTCCCAGGCACATTAGCAGGGAGCCAGATTGGAAGTGGAGCAGCCAGGACTCAAACCACCACCCATGTGGGACACCAGCATAGCAGGTGGAGGCTTTACCTGCTACACCACAATGCTCACCACCAGTAGCTGATTTTTCTATATTGCTCTCATATCCTTTGACTTTCTTAACCTCATGTATTCTAGTAGTTTAAAATTCTTTTTGTTAATATAAAGAGAATAGATGTTATGTATTACATAGGTACAGTTCTAAGAAGGTAAACATACTTCCCTCCCTCCACTTTTCCCTTCATCAGTCCCCTCCTTCCTTTATTTTTTTCTTTAATCTTTGCAGATGCATGCTTTCAATCCACTCTGTAGTCATAGGCTTAATTCACACTAACCATAATATTCAACAAGTAAAAAATAGGAAGACCAGAGTTCTACAATAGTATAAACAAGGGCTAAAAGCAACAATCATATCACAAGATGTTTGTTTCATTCCTATAAATTTTTGATGTTCTATATTAACAGCCACATATCAGAGAAAACATGATATTTGTCTTTTTCAGACTGGCTTAGTTCACTAAGCATGATGGTTTCTAGTTGCATCCATTCTGTTGTGAAAGGCAGGATCTCATTCTTTTTTATGGCTGAGCACCATTTCATAGTGTACACACACACACACACACACACACATATCACATTTTCTTTATCCAGTCATCAGTTGATGGATATCTGTATTGATTCTAGTAGTTTTATATTTTGGGATTATCTGCACCAAAAATTTTAGCATCTGAGTGAAAACAGTTTTCTTTGTTTTTTCCTATTTGTCTTTTATTTTTACTTGCCTTGCTGTTATGGTGACTAGAAACTCCAGTAACTACTGAATAGGAGTATCTTGTTCCTAGTCTTAGAGGTAGAATATTGTCTTTTACCATTAAATATGATGCTAGAGTAGTTTTTTTTTAGCTTTGTTATTGTAAGTTTAATTTCACTTTATTGGAGAGAGAGTGAGAGAGAGGTACCCATCTTCCATCTCCTAGTTTACTCCTCAAGTGCTCACAACAGTAGGAGTGGGTCAGACTGAAGCCAGGAGCCTGAAACTCAAGCTAAATAAACTCAAGCTGAGTCTCTCATATGAGAGGCAGGAACCTGAGTACTTGAGCCATTATCTGTTTATTATCAATCATATTTATATCATGACTAGATGTTGAATTTTGTTAGGAACTTTATCAGTATCTATTGAGATAATTATGTTTTATTTCTTGATGTGGTAAATTATATTGCTTTTTGACCACTGAACGAGCCTTGCTTTTCTAGGATCAACCTCATTTGTTGAGGATATGTTTCATTTTTATATATTGTTGAAATTGAGTCTCAGATACATTTATTAAGGACTTTTGTATCTTTGTGAGGGATGTTAAGCTGTGGTCTTTTCTATATTTGTTAAGATCAGGATAATGCTAGTCTTATTTGATTTAATTAATTTCTAATTTAATTGGGTTGATTTTTATTTTCTTTAAGAGAATGTATCAAACTGATACATGTTGATCCTTTAAATGTTGGAAGAACTTGCTGATAAAATATCTAAAGCCTTAGGTATTTGTTTCATGGGAAGTTTTAAATTATGGATTCATTTTCATTAGTAGTCAATAGGTTTGCTTAGGTCATCTACTTCATTTTTGAAGAGTTTGGAGAGTTTATGGTTATTAAGGAATTTCTCCATTTTATATAAGTTGTCAAATTTGTATACATGGAGCCATTAACAGTATTACTACCTTATTTACTCTTACCATCTTAAATGTCAGTAGTAATATTCCTGCTTTCATTCCTGGTATATGTCTTGATTTGTACTTTCCATCTTTTTTTTTCTTTTTGACACTGAAACTACTGAAAACTATTTTTACACTGGAAGTTGTTGAAACATTCTGTATCTTTTTGCATCCAATTAGATGGTATAATTCTAGCAATTCTCAGAAAAATAAACCTTCCATCTTTTTTTTGCCTTTTGGCAGTTTTTCACAGGAATATTTATTAGTTTCATTGATTTCTCTATTTTTTTAATTATTTTCCACTGAATTGTTTTCTTTCTGTTTTTTCTAGCTTTACTTTGCACCAGTTACTGATTTGACTTTTGTTTCAATGGAAGCCATCTGTACCACAATTTTGCCTCTAAGCACTGTTGCATCCCACAAATTTACAAACATGATGTCTTCATTTTCCTGCAGTTCAAAATATTTTCTTACTCACTTTGACATTTATCCATGGATAATTTAGAGCTGTTTACTTTTCAAATGGTTAGAGATTATCCTTCTGTTACTGATTTTTGGTTAACTTGCCTTATATTTAGAGAGCACATTTATTTTCTTTTTTTAAAAGTTTATTTGAAAAGCAGAGACAGAAAGAGAGACAGACAGACATACAGAGTTCTCCCATCTACTAGTTCACGCTCAGTTCTCCCATGTTGGGGGCAGGACCCAACCACTTGAAACAATCACCTGCTGCCTTTTAGGTTGTGCAAGAGTGAAAACCTGAAATTGAGGGTGGAGCCTGAACAAAAACTTACTTGCTCTGATATGGATATGGACATATATTTTTATTGGACAGGCAGAGACAGAGACAGAGATCATCCATCTACTGTTTGATTTCCCAAGTGACTGCAGCCGCTGGTACTGGGTCAGGCCAGAACCAGAGAGCCAGGAGTCAGGAACTCAGTCCAGGTCTCCCATGTGGGTGCCAGGGGTCCAAGTACTTGAGCCAACACCTGCTGCCTCTCAGAGTGGGCATTTGCAGCAACTTGGAATTAGAAGCCAAGCTGGGACTTGAACCCAGGTACTCATCTATGGGATGCAGGTGTTGTGTTCTGAGCAGTGTCTTAATTGCTGTGCCAAATGCCAGCCCCAGCCTGCCCTTTTTCTGTTCTTTTAAATCGAGTTTCTTAAATCTGTAGGTTCATATCTTTTACCAAATTTGGGATAAGTTCAGTTTTATTTATTCAAATATCTTTTCTGCCCTACACCCTTCCTTCTGTGACTTTAATGACAAGAAAGTAAAATCTATTAATTGTCCCACAGATCCTTGAATGGACTATGTTAATTTCTTTTCTTTTCATCAATCTTTGTTCTGTTTATCATTCAGATTGATTGGTTTCTGTTGATCTGTGGCCAAGTTAAACCTGTTATCTCAAATATTGGTATTTAGATTGATCTCGTATTTTTAAAAATTGTGGTTATTGAATCTTTCCAGTTCTAAAATTTCCATTTCATTCTGCTTTTTTTGTTTGTTTGTTTTGACAGGCAGAGTGGACAGTGAGAGAGAGAGACAGAGAGAAATGTGGGGAGCAACTTGGACTAGACTAAGTTACTGGAATTAAGACTTATTCTATGCATCTGCTCTCCCACAATATGGCACTGGGAGAGGAATAAACAGCTTCTACACAGTTGCCTCCAGTTCAACCAATAAACAGCAGGACCTGCTCCTGATTGGAGGAGAGCAGTGTACTCGGCATGAGGGTAGCAGAGTTGGGATTGGTGGAAGAGGACTATAAAGGAGGAGAGAGACAACATGCAAGGGGAACATCTAAGGGGAACATCCGGATAACATCTGAGCAGCCCCCAAGAGAGCCGGCCGGCGGTGTGCCACTCCCCCACGGAAGTGGGGAAAGTGGCAGCGGGGCCCACCCCTCCACGGAGGTGGAGGGACGGCAGCCAACCCGGGAAGGACCAGCAGCGAACCCGGGAAGGGCCCAGCAGACAAAAGAACAGCGCAGGGTCCACGAAGAGGGGGAGCAACAGAGAAAGGTCTTCCTTTACCATTGGTTCACCCTCCAATGGCTGCCGCAGCCGGTGTGCTGCGGCTGGCGCACTGCGCTGATCCGAAGGCAGGAGCCAGGTGCTTCTCCTGGTCTCCCATGGGGTGCAGGGCCCAAGCACTTGGGCCATCCTCCACTGCACTCCCTGGCCACAGCAGAGAGCTGGCCTGGAAGAGGGGCAACCAGACAGAATCTGGCGCCCCGACTGGGACTAGAATCCAGTGTGCCGGTGCCACAGGCGGAGGATTAGCCTATTGATCCGCGATGCCAGCCTTCATTTTTCTTTAAATGTGCTTTTCCTTCATAAGACTCTCCCCCCCCCCCCCAGGTGTTTGCCCTTACTTTTTGGAGATTTTTTGGTGCATTCTCTTAAAATCTTTTCCTATTAACTAACTTCTGTGTCATTTTGCCATTGGTGTCTGCTGTGGGTGAATTGAGGTTTCTCCCTAGGTGTTGAGTAAGTTTGAATCATGTCTTAAACACTTGAACAGTGTTATGGGATTCTAGATCTTGTTTAAAACCTATGGAGAATACTGAGTTTCAGACCGCAAGGTTTAACCAGCAGCCTTTGGATTGTGGTTTCAGTGGCACTTCTGCTTCCAAAGCCTGTGCTGTGCCGTGCTGTTCAAATCGGTTTCGAGTGTGTTCCTGCCAGAGGCTGGTTTCCGACCTGGTCATTGGTCATCATTTATTTTTCAGTCTTTGCAGTGCTATTTAGCAGCAAGTAAGTGCTGCTCAGGTGTGGCCCCTGGAATCGCCATACAGGTTCATGGAATCACTTTCCTGAGTCCTGGTGGTTGACTGTTTTCCTGATATCTTCTGTTGTGTTGGGCCCCTTTTTTCTTTTCTTCTGCCTCTAAGACTGGTTTTTCATTTTTCCTGTTCTGTTATATACTTCCTAAAACTAATGCAAAGCAGTGCATGTTTGCATTGTCTGTGATTCTGTGGAGTTCCTGCTGTCCAGTGCCAGGTGTACCAGTCTTTTGCATTCATTTGAGAGGCAGAGAGGAAAAGAGAGGGGGAGAGAGAGAAAGAGAGAGTTTTTGTCTGTGTTGTTCCCCAACTGTCCACAATGGCCTAAGCTGGGGCCAAAGCTCAGACTTGGTAATTCAGTCCCTGTCTCTCATGGGGGTGGTAGAAACTAATCAGTTGAGACATTACTGTTGCCTGCCCCAGAAGTTTGGTTATCAAACTCAGGTACTCAAATATGGGATGCAGGCATTTTAACTAATAACATAACTGCTAGGCTGAGCGCATGCCCCAGATGTACCAGTCTTAAATGTAGACCCTGAAATGTCCATGCATGTGGTTTACGTGCTCACCAGTCAGTGTAGACGGAACATTTCCAGCTTCCTGGTAAGTTCCCTCATGTTCCCCCTCTCCCTGCATCAGCCACTCTTCTGATTTCTAGCACCATGTCTGTTCTCAGACTTGTTATAAACAGATCCTGAAAAGGGTGTTCTCACGTATCTAGTATTTTAGTCAAGGGATTTTGTGGCCCAGCCTGGTGTATTATTTAATATGACTGTTTCTGACTCTGTTACACTCAAAACACCTAAACCAAAGCAGATTCAGTTTTTTACTTTATATTTTTCTTAGCTGTGAAAGTCTTAAAATTCTTTGAAATTTTCCATATTCCTTTTCCCAGTCATTCAGTGAGTGTCTCCCTCATTCACTTACACTGTGTCTGTTACTTATTCTCACAGGTTCATCTTCTCCCAACTTCCTTTTCCTTCTTCCACACTTCCTTCTGCCAGCACAGAGATGAAAAGGAGAGTAATAACTTCTTATATCCTATTTGTTCTTTGCCATGCTAGCATTTAGTTTGGGAAAATTCAGGTTGAACCGAGTGTCTGTAGTTAGGGTACTAATGGGGTGTTTTCTCCCTTCTTTCTGACAGCATGATGGAAGTGGTTCATTACATGACATTCAACTATAATTGCCATCCAGTCCAGAACCAGAAGATGGTGATCAAATATGTAAGGTAATCAGGCTAAATATTTCAAATGTTTTGAATATTAAAATAATAAAGCTATAACAATGAAAGTGTTTAATAATAAGGATGTTGAAAACTTAGAGATTTACTTTCTGTAGTATTTCAAGTGTACATATAAAAACTTAGGGATTTGCATTTTTTAAAAGATGTATTTATTTATTTAAAAGGCAGAATTAGAGAGGGGGAGAGCAAGACTTCCATCTCCTGGTTCACTCCCCAAATGGCCTCTGCAGCCAGGACTGGACTAGGAGCTTCATCCAGGTCTCCCATGTGAGTGGGAAGGGCCCAAGTACTTGCAATGTTTTTCACTGCCTTCCCAGGTGTATTAGGGAGCTGGATCAGAAGTACAGCAGCCAGGACTTGAACCTGCACCCATAGGGGGATGCCGGTACTGCAGGCAGTGCTGTTAACCTGATGTACTACAGCACCAGCCCTGAAATTTGCTTTCTTGAGACTTGCTCTTAACTTTTGCTACTTTGTTAAGTTGAAATCTCTGTGTTGTTTAATTTGAATTTATCCGTTGGATAATTAGTATTGATTCAGAATCCTTTTCCAAAAATCATCACTTTTTACAATTTTTACATACAGCTTCCAAGAAAAATTAAAGTGGCAATTAAGTTTCACTGCATATCTCATTTATCACAACGTTGAAAGATACTAGAAGATACTAAAAATGAGATTAACTTTATTAGGCTCATGTTTTCCCTGTGTTTCTTGTGTAGATTTCTCCTGCCTTTGAATATTAAGTTTATAACTTTATTTCATTCCTCTGTAATTTTTACTGTCATGATTTCACATGTGACATATATACCTGATAACATGTAAAATTTCTTTCTTTCTTACTTGGTGATCCATCTTCCCACTAGACATATTCCTACACTACCTGCAGCTACCTCCAACAATGTATTTAAAACTCACACATATTCCTCTTTGAACATCTGTGTCCTCCTGTACTCGCCATTTCTTTTGGTGGCACAGTTTTTCACCGTGTCCCTAAAGTTGTAAATAGGAGTGTCTTGACTGCTCCTCTGTGCCTTTCTCTCTCATGCCGTGAATTGTCAAAATCTCCACACTTTGATTTCTCCACTTCTATCTCTGTTATCACTCTTTTGGGTTAGGTTCCTCTGTCATCTGGAATAATAGAGTATTTTGATGACACGTTCCCAGCCCAGTTTTGTTGCTTTTGTTGTCAAATTTGTTCTCCAAATGCTGTCAGTGCTGTCTGAAATGTAAATCTACCACTCCCTGGCTAAGTCTGTGCCCCATCGTTATAGCCCTCTGTGCTGTGTGGCCCTTGCCTGGTTCACAAACCTACTTGTGCCTCACTCGTCACCAGCCTTTGTGTGACCACATCACTGCTTCTATTTCCCCAGATGTGCTCTGCTTGTCTTCCCCTCTGTATTTTTGTAGAGCATTCAGAATCCCTTCCTGCTGCGTCCTCAGAACCTTCTGCTCATTCCTTTAAGACCCCACTGGAGTCACGCATTTCCTGACATGTCCTCCCCTGCCCATCTTTATGTGTAGTCTTACAGCAGTGCCTGCATGTAGTAAGTGCTGCGTAAATTTTGTCTTAATATTCTTACCACATTGTATTTTGATCTCATATTTTGAGTCCATTTCTGTAACGTGGGTAGAATCCACAACTATAGAAATGTTGGCTGTGTAGTGTTCCATCAGTTTGCTCTATTGGGTTTCACTTGTTCCCTTATGGGACAGTTGTAAACTTGTAAACTTTCAGGTAGTATCTTGTTGATCTTTTCACACTTGGAATCATTTCTTCAGCATAGATTCCTAGAAGTGGAGTAACTGAATCAGAATTGCAGATATTTTTGTGATTTTATACATATAGGCATATGTTTGTCTAGAAAGGTTGGTTGCTTTGTCTATTGAGTTGCTACATTTTTTCTCTAATCTTCTTAATCACAATGAAAACCCCCCTCCAATTTAATATCTATAAAATAAGTGCTTCCAGTATTTTGTTTTTCTAAAACAAGTCAAATAGAGCATTTTTCAGATTACATGTGTGTGAGAACTATTTGTTGGAATCTTGACAGTGACCTTAGGTGTTTGAGCTAGCTTCTGGTAGAATTGCGATATAAAACTTTTGTCACATTTGCATAGGTTTTACAAGGCTTTAACTTTAATCAGAAAATTAATTGTATAGATGAAAGCTTTATATAACAAATACATTTATGATTTCTTAGTAAGTTTGTTTGCTACATAATTTAAACATATTCTAGATAAATCCTTGAAAATAGGTCTTTTGTGATCTGTAATCCATCTTTTGTCTAATTTATGAATTTTTAGAATTCTTAAACTCTTTCAGGTCTTTTTTTTTAGTGATATAAAAGCTGTCTTTCCCAATTATACTGTCCATAACATTTTAAAATATTTTCTGACATGTTAACACCTTTGTAGGATGTCTGTTTCTGAATTTTTGTTTAGAGACTGCATTTTTTTAGGTTACTCCCAGTGTGTCTGGAGAAGATGACATAACTTTGCTTAGTAACTACACCATTGCCATTATTTGCTTGCATGTTTCTCTGCCTGGAAAGATGTGGTGTATCATCTATATATAAAAAATCTAATCCCTTGCTTAAACTACTTCCTATTCTGAATAAGTGAAGAGAAGTTCTGAATAAGTGAAGAGAAGTACTAAAAATGGGCTGCCTGTAGGGTAATGATACTTCACACTTGTAAAGGTGACCAGATTCCTGTTTAGCTTGACATGGGTTTCCATTTCACAGTATTGGGCATTTCTCGTTGATGAACTTGACAGACTATTTTTTTCTCTTTGACTCAGGCAGCGCTGTTCAGGAAAGTGGTTCATGGTCAACTCATCTCGTTTATTACTCTTCAGGCATATTTATCTCTTTGGTGATTGCTGAACCAGCCATGAAATTCCACTGTGTCTTTAATTATACTATTTCCTCTGTCTGTTGTGCCCTTCATTTTCTCTGAGAGGCATCCTTTGAAATGTTAGCTAAAGTTACAGTTCTGTATGTGACAGATTGATTCTATGACCAGGATCCCAGTTTCCTCATGTGTAAAAGGAGATAATGGTGTATACCTCAAGTGACACAGTTAAGATCAAGTGCCTAAATATTTTCAAGTGCATAGTTTCTAACACCCAATAATTACTGAGTGAATGTTAGCCTTTACTTCTGTTGCTGTTCGTCGTTTACATGTCAGACTCCATTAGACCATTAAATGATGATTTTGTTTTATTCTTTCTTTAGATTTATTTATTTGAAAGGCAGAGTTACAGAGAGAGAGAGAGGGAGAGACAGAGATAGAGAACTTCATCAGATGGCTCACTCTCCAGATGGCTGCAATGGCTGGAACTGGGCCAGGCTGAACTCAGAAGCCTGGAACTCCATCCAGGTCTTCTGTATGGTGCAAGGGCCCAAGCACTTGGTCCTTCCTCTGCTGTTTTCCTGGGCACATCAGCAGGGAGCTGGATTGGAAGTGAAGCAGCGGAACTTGAACCAGCACCCATGTGGGATGCTGGCATTGCAGGGAGTGGCTTAAAACACTGTACCACAACACCGGCCTCCTATGACATTCTTTTTAATAAAAGATTTTTCCCCTTAAATGAACAAATAGATCATTTTCTAGTCTTTGTCATTGATGTAGTGCTCTTTAATAAGGTATTTTAAATGCCTTATCTTAAATTTTTTTAATATTTCAGAATGAAGATTAATTAAATGAAATTAAACAACTTAAAGAAGAAAGAAAGAAGATGAAAAAATCCAACTATTAGAACATCAGCTTGTAAGTATGATAGTGTAATATATAAAATGGAGACTTTTCAAACTGGGAAATACATCCTTTTCATAAGACTGTGATCCAGAATTCAAGTTTGACTTTATTTTTGGCTCTCATAGTTTCACTATTGCATTATTTGTAGATTATATGCATTCTAACAAAAGTATGTGCTGTAACCTTCATTCTAAATATTAAGTGTTCAGTGTTAAAAATTCTTTGTTGTTCCATTTTCAGTGGCATCTGTTTTGGGGATTTATAAATTTACCAAATATGTTCATTTACTAATACAGGGTAGACGACTTTGCTTTAGAGATAAGGTTAAAGAAACAAATCCTGGGAAGTTGAGAACAGGACATTTCCTTTCTCTGTGAGCAAAATGAGACTGAGTATTCAGGCTTAGGCATCGGGATAGCTATCAAATATTTATTCCCTGTGGGTGATGTTGAGTGATCCCTTAGAGTTTGTCTGAATCTTTGTACAATATTCAATGTTAATCCCATGTAAAAACAGTATATATACTGTCTTGAATTTAATTTAGTTTAGCTTGCAATAATTTAAAAAGCTAGGATAAAAAGAACGTAAATCAGAAAAATCATAACCATCAAGAAGATCTTTATTAGTCATCAAAAAATATCTTGGAACAATGAAACAATTCAGCCATATGAGGGGTTAATCTCACTTAGAACATAAAGTATATATGATACTCCCCTCTGAGCTGCTGAGGCCATGTAGTTATTTCAGCTATTATGATTAAGAATACAAAGAAAATGTGTGAGTCCAAGTGAAGAACATCTAATATTTCAGATTGAAGTCCTACTGATACAGAATTAAAAAGGGGAATAATAAGACCTAATGTTTATGTCTCAGTGGTAAAGACAAGGGAGCAGGTGTTTAGCCTAGCAGTTAAGACTCCTGCATCTTACACTGGAACACCATGATTCAATTCTGGACTTAGTTTCCTGTCGGTATATACCCTGCGAGGCAGCAGAGATGGCTCAGTTAGGGTCCTGCCTCCTGTGTGGAAGACCCTCATTGTGTTCCCAGCTCCCAGATGTGGGTCCAGTCCATCCCCAGCCATTGCACACATTTGGGGAGTGAACCAGTAGATGGAAGCTTCCTCTATGTGTCCATCTGTCTATGTCTCTCTGCATCTCAAAAACAAAACAAAAAGCTATAAACTAAGAAATAATCCAGTTTTTAGGGAGAAAGTAAATATGTAAATTAGGAAATTAAGTTAGCTTCAACTTTGTCGCTCCCCCTCTTCGTGGAGGAACGACACAGGACCCTGCTTTGTTCTTTTGTCTGCTCGGCCCTCCCCGGGTTTGCTGCTGGTTCTTCCCGGGTTGGCTGCCATCCCTTCCGCCTCCGTGGAAGGGCGGTTCCCCCTAGCCACTTTCCCCACTTCCGCGGGGGAGTGGCACACCACGGGCCGGCTCTCTTAGGGGCTGCACAGGTGTTCCCCTTAGATGTTCCTGGTGCATGTTGTCTCTCTCCTCCTTTATAGTCCTCTTCCGCCAATCCCAACTCGGCTGCCCACACGCCGAGTACGCTGCTCTCCTCCAATCAGGAGCAGGATCAGCTCCTGGAGGTCATCACTCAAGTTGGCAAGAGGCAGCTGCGTAGAAGCTGTTTTCTCCTCTCCCAGCGCCATATTGTGGGAGAGCAGATGCATAGAATAAGTCTTAATTACAGTAACTTAGTCTAGTCCGAGTTGCTCCCCACAAACTTTTGCAAAAAATGTATTACAGAGCACAAGAAATTGTTAGGTCTAGTACACTTCAAAAACAGGTCATAATCCTCATAATTAATTTCCGGATAGTTCTATCTATATACAAAAGTACATTTTCAGTCCTTTAACATCTTAAAAAGTATGCCACATAGTTATCTGTCTAAAAATTACTTAATGCATTGCAAATACTTGAGAGAGAAATTGGAAAATAACACAAGAATAGGTAGCAAAGATTTAAATGAATAAGTGGTGTAATGAAATCATCTTTAGAGAAACTAAGTGGGCTAAACCTCTGAACAATTGATTGGAGAAAATTTACTGCTCATTATTTTATCTGATGCAATTATATATCATTTGAATGTTGGAATTTATAAATCTTTTAAGTTCTGAAATTAAAATAATTTTTACTTAAAAAATTTGAGTTGCTATTTTTGAGAATATATTTAGACTAAATTGTAAAAGTTTAAGGTAGCAGAAAAGGAGTAAACTGAAGGAAGTCAGAAGTATTGAATGTTTTATCATCTACAAATGAACCCTTAGACATTCTTTTTAAAATTATAGTTAGATAAATTGTAATAAACCTTGTGACATAGTTTTTTCTTTTAAAGATTTATTAATTTATTTGAATGGCAGAGTTACAGAAAAGGGAGCAGGGAAAGAGAGAAAGAGAGAGAGAGAGAATCTTCCATCCACTTGTTCACTCCCTAAATGGCTGCAACAGCCAGTGCTGCTCTATGCTGAAGCCAAGCCAGTTGCCAGGAACTTCATCTAGTTCTCCCATGTGGGTGCATGGGCCCAAGCACTTGGACCATCTTTCCAGTCATATTCCCAGGCATATCCCAGGGAGCTGGATAGGAAGTAGAGCAGTCAGGACAAGAACTGGTATTCACATGGGATGCCAGCATTGCACGCAGAAACTTTACCCCCTACACCACAACACTGGACCCTGTGGCATGCTTTAGAGTAACTACTAGTAGGTTGAAAGACTCTGTCTTGGAGAATACATGAAAAATTAGAGAAAACAGAAAAATGAGCTAATTTAAATAAACTGAAGGGGAATTGTGGCCTCACATGCACAGCAAACTTTGTGAAACTTGGCAGTTCCTGTTCTTGATTCTAGAGACTAATGTTGGTACAGTTTGTCTCCATAGATTTACAGGGCTGGAGAGGATTTACTGCTAGTCATTAACAGCAGTGACGTGCTGAAGCAGACATCTTATTAAATGAGTTTTAAGGAGAAACATGTCCTTTTTGCAGTAGGGCATTGGAAGTCATTCAGGAAGATTATAAAGGTATAATGTTTACCTCTGAAACTCTAGAAAATCACTTGTTCAAATCAGAAGAATTTAAAAGTTATAAACCATTGAAAGTAGAGATTTGTAATAGCACTTTTTTTTTTATTTTTTGACAGGCAGAGTGGACAGTGAGAGACAGAGAGACAGAGAGAAAGGTCTACCTTTGCCGTTGGTTCACCTTCCAATGGCTGCCGCAGCCAGCACTGCAGCCGGTGCACTGCGCTGATCTGATGGCAGGAGCCAGGTACTTATCCTGGTCTCCCATGGGGTGCAGGGCCCAAGCACTTGGGCCATCCTCCACTACACTCCCTGGCCACAGCAGGGAGCTGGCATAGAAGAGGGGGAACTGGGACAGAATCCGGCGCCCCGACTGGGACTAGAACCCGGTGTGCCGGCGCTGCAAGGTGGAGGATTAGCCTAGTGAGCCACAGCGTTGGCCGAAATGTAATAGCATTTTCACATGATCAAAAATAAAATTGCTCTTCTATTTAAAATTTCTTTCTTTACATCTTTAGGTTACTTTTTGTAAATGGGGGAAAAGGCACAAGAAAAGCCATTAATAGGAGTCAGATGACATTTCTTATCTCTAATAATTTTTTTAATGACTTTGGCAAATTCTGTTACCTCTTTAGTGCTTTATCCAGAATGCAAAGGTTTTCTTGATGATTTCAAAGTTTTCTCCTTCCAGTTCTATACTCCTATGCTTTCTTGTCATTTATAAGGTATACATTCTTTTTTTAAACTTTTATTTAATAAATATAAATTTCAAAAGTACAACCTTTGAATTTTTCCCCCCATAACCTCCCTCCCTCCCACAACCATCCTATCTCCCACTCCCTCTCCCTCTCCCACCCCATTCTTCATCAAGATCAACTTGGTACATACTAAGTAAACATTTCAACAGTTTGCACCCACACAGATACACAAAGTATAAAGTACTGTTTGACTAGTAATTTTACCATTAATTTGTTTAGTACAACACATTAAGGACAGAGATCCTACATGGGGACCAAATGTACAGTGACTCCCATTGTTGATTTAACAGCTGACACTCTTATTTACAATGTCTGTAATCACCGGAAGCTCTTGTCATGAGCTGCCAAAGCTATGGAAGCCTCTTGAGTTCACAAACTCCAACCTTATTTAGACAAGGCCATAATCAATGTGGAAGTTCTTTCCTCCCTTCAGAGAAAGGTGCCTCCTTCTTTGATGGCCCATTGAGTAGTCTTGGTGGGAAAGGTATACATTCAACTGTAACCTATGTTTGCATGCAAACTTTTGGAAAAATAAAAAGTATAAAGTGTTGAATTCATGTTTACGTGATGCAAGCTGATATAAAATTATATTACAATGCTCTGAGAATTTAACTGAAAGGTAGAGAGGTTTGACTATTCAAATCTTATTCCAAAATGCTAAGGATTCTTGTTATTTTCTCCTCAGAACACTAATTAAATAATAATTTAGATGTATTTGTACATTGAAACCAGCATAATTTTGTGAAATTACTAGTGTATAATTTTAATTATGGAGTCATAGAAAGTGAAACTCAGGTTAAATAGGCTAGAAGTATCTTTGAAAACCCATGCTAGACTTTGGTTCGAATCTTGCTTTTGAAACATAGCTGTGTTCTCTTAAGGAAGGTATATAATCTCTCTTGAGCCTTTCCTGTAAATGGAAATAATAAAAATACTGATGCTAGAGGGTTGTGGGAGTTAAATGAACCATGGCCTAATGCCTGGCCCAGGGGTGTGGGATAATTAGTAACTCTTACTTAATGGCTTGCTCCAAATGACCCAGCATAAATCAATGCATGTCTTAGAATGTTTTAAATCCCTAACTAAAAGTGACTTAAAATACAAGAACATTTGTAAACTAAAATAACAAAGTGTATAGGTCTCATCCACTTCCATGGTTACTTATTGGTCATTTGGTTAATGGTTGAAGTTCTAGGTTGGCTTTTCTAGAATCCTTGTGGCTTTCTCTTCCTTTGTAGAAAGTCTTTTTAGCTGTAGGTGTCACATTCTCACAGGGTAATACCCAAAGGTGGGTGCAGAACCCATTTTCCCTAGTAGATCCATTTAATACTTGTGTTTAAAATGGACATGCTATTTCTCAGAAATACCTCAGACTTTCCTCCTGTTTTATTAGCTACATTTGAGTTCCTTATCCCTTCCTAAGCATACATTGGTTCAGAGTAATCAAGATCTATTTCCTTGGAACAAGAGGAAAGACGTACTTCCTCAAAGAATACCATGTGAATACAATCTGTCAGCTATTACAGAAAGCAGGTGGAGAGGGAGTGATTTGGGCAGTTGGTTTACATCTATTGAAATGTTACTAAAAACTAGGCTTTTCCAATTATGGAAGATTCAAATGTCTAGTATAACTCAAATATTACTCTCCACATGTTAGCAAAAAGGATATTATCTCTGGAATTGTCATAATCAGGATGCAATAAGTCATGAACCTGCATTCTGATCCGTGTTTTATACTTCTTCTCCTCTTTACATACCTCCCCTATATGTTACAAATTAAGTCCTAATACAATGAATTCCAAGAGACTTAGTTGACTTGCATTTGTAGTAGTGAGTTTGGTTTCAGCTTAAAGATAGAAACTGTGTAATGTAGAGATTTTTGTTTATAATTGGATTTTATTTTCCATAGGAGATTGGAATAATATGAGTACAATTATGAAAATTTTTAATATTGGTAAATATTTTTAAAATAGGAATGTGTAATTTCAACTTGATGTAGTAATCAAGGATTTCTTAGGTTTTTCTATGAGAAAGTGTATTTACCTTCAATGGGGTTGCTTAACAAATAATTTGGTTACATTTCAGCTTTACATAACAGTGAATTCTCATTTTCCATCTTTTCATTGTATTTGATGATTTGAAAGCACCAAAGTTTACACAGTATGTACACTGTGTGTTGTATAACTGAGTATACTTTGAGAGGCATCACATGTAGAGAATTCATTTGAGAATTGAGAGGGACAGATGGTCTTGTGGTCTTGTCAAAGGGTAGAGACGCTTCAAAAAATTATTGTCCAGTAAAGAGAACACATCATTTTTTTTTTTTGACAAGCAGACTGGACAGTGAGATAGAGACAGAGAGAAAGGTCTTCCTTTTCCATTGGTTCATCCCTCAATGGCCGCTGCAGCTGGTGTGCTGCGCTGATCCGAAGCGAGGAGCCAGGTGCTTATCCTGGTTTCCCATGCGGGTGCAGGGCCTTCCCAGGCTACAGCAGAGAGCTGGACAGGAAGAGAAGCAACTGGGACAGAACCAGCACCCCCACTGAGACTAGAACCCAGTGTGCCAGCACCACAGGCTGAGGATTAACCTATTGAGCCGCAGCGCTGGCCAAGAGAACACATCATTAAAGAGACTTGGCAACATTGCACATATGAATAGGTAGTCTGACTTATGGATTGGTGGTATTTAGTAGCAAGTAGATTACCATCAAAAATGCATTCAAGGAGAGTGTACAATAATGACTACATAGCAACATAATCATTTAGAAAACTATAAAATTTGCATTTGTATTCTTTATATACTGTGTATCACTATATATATATACACATAATACTGTATATATTTTTAGCACATAAGTACACACTGTGTGAATTTTATGTAATATGCTTTTAAACAATTTAAGAGATTGCTGAGGGTAGTTGGACTGTTTGAAATTCTGCTCTCACTGGTTGACTCAAACCCAGTCCCTGAATAAGATGAGAGACTACTGAGTAAAGACTGATATTTGCTATAAAAGTTTAGAACCATTTTGTAATGTGTAACTTTTTTCTTGGTTTGTTTGTTTTTACCCCCTAAGAGAGCCCCTAATGACTTTGTGTGTGTATGCAGAATGAAACCAATGTAAAAATGTGTGTTTTTGTTCAGGCAACTCCGTGTAACTGCCACCAAAAATCTAAAGAGGAAAAATGCACTTATGCTGACAAATACACCCAGACTCCCTGGAGAAGAATTCCTGTGAGTAACAAATGCTCTCACCCTCCTCTCCTGTCATTTGCTATTTAATGTTTTGTTTGCTTTTCTTACTCTTAATCACTAATAATTTTGAATCTGCTTATTGCTTTTAGTTTTTTTCTTAGGCAAGTTGTTGTTTTTCTAGTCTCTTAGATGTGAATATGCTGCCTTCTAAAGCTTCACTTGTATGTCCTGCACAAGTGAATGTGCCTTTAATAACTTCCATTCTGCACACCGTAGCTCATTTTATTTGAATGTCTTCTCTCCTGTCATTGCGTGTATCTATGAGAGTAATATTTGTAGAAGCCCTACAATAAACAGAAGTCCCATATGCAGCTGTTGCACCTCAACAACATGCCACATTTTAAAAATATATTATGTTAAACTTGTTGAAGTGAAATGGACACTATGAGAAACAGTGACTTGATCAGCTCTTGTCCTGACGGTTGATGTACAATGTAATACTTTATCCATTTTAGTATTTTTTTTTTTGTTCTAGTACCATTGGTTGAACTCTGTAATTAACACACAATTATTCTTAGGTGTTTAAATTTTAACTGAAAAGTGATCCCTGTTAGGAATTTGGAAAACATTATGCTGAGTGAAATAAGCCCATACCAAAGGGACAAATACCACTTATTCTCCCTGATAGGTGACAACTAACTGAGCACCAAAAAGGAAACCTGTTAAAGTGAAATGAACACTATGAGAAACGGTGACTTGATCAGCCCTCACCCTGACTGTTGATGAGCAATTAAATATGTTATCCCTCTTAGTATTTTTTGTTTGTTTGTTCTACTTAATACTTTTGGTTGAATACTGTAATCAATACACAATTCTTCTTAAGTGCTGAAACTTAACTGAAAAGTGATCGCTGTTAAATATAAGAGTGGGAATAAGAGAGGGAAGAGATGTGCAATTCAGGACATGCTCAAGCTGACTTATCTCAAACGGTAGAGTTAGAAACATACCAGGGGATTCGAATTCAATCCCATCAAGGTGGCATGTACCAATGCCATCTCACTAGTCCCAGTGATCAATTTCTGTTCACAATTGATCATAATGATAGGACTAAGAACCAAAGGGATCACAGAAACAAGAATAGTGTCTGCAAATACTAGCTGATAGAATCAAAAAGGGAGAGAATGGTCCAACATGGGAAGTGAGATACACAGCAGACCCATAGAATGGCAGATGTCCTAAACAGCACTCTGCCTCAGAATCAGCCCTTAAGGCATGCAGATCCGGCTGAAAAGCCCATGAGAGTATTTCAGGCATGGAAAGCCAAGACACTCTGTCCAAAAAAAAAAAAAAAAAAAAACTAAATGAAAGATCTCCACGAGTGAGATCCCAGTGGAAAGAATGGGTCATCAAAGAAGGAGGTACCTTCCTCTGAAGGGAGGAGAGGACTTCCACTTTGACCATGGCCTTGTCTAAATATGATCAGAGTCGGTGAACTCAGGGGGCTTCCATAGCCTTGGCAGCTCATGACAACAGCCTAGGGTGATTACTGATGCCATAAACAAGAGTGTCAATTTGTTAAGTCAACAACAGGAGTCACTGTACACTTACTCCTCATGTAGGATCTTTGTCCTTAGTGTGCTGTACATTGAGATTTAATGCTATAATTAGTACTCAAACAGTATTTTTCACTTTATGTTTCTGTGTGGGAGCAAACTGTTGAAATCTTTACTTAATGTATGCTAAACTGATCTTCTGTATATAAAGAGAATTGAAAATGAATCTTGATGTGAATGGAAGGGGAGAGGGAGTGGGAAAGGGGAGGGTAGCAGGTGGGAAGGACATTATGGGGGGGAAGCCATTGTAATCCATAAACTGTACTTTGGAAATTTATATTCATTAAATAAAAGTTAAAAAAATATATTATGTCAGCAAAGTTCTTTTTTGCTGAAACTCTCAAAGTATGTTTTAATATTTAGTCAAATGAATGTTGACGGTATCAGGAAATAATGAATGGGAAGATATAGGCAGTAAAGATTATGGTTTAGAAATAGTTGGCTGGTGCCATGGCTCACTAGGCTAATCCTCCGCCTGCGGTGCTGGCACCCCAGGTTCTGTTGGGGCGCCAGATTTTGTCTCAGTTGCCCCTCTTACAGTCCAGCTCTCTGCTGTGGCCCAGGAGTGCAGCAGAGGATGGCCCAGATCCTTGGGCCCTGCACCCGCATGGGAGACCAGGAGGAGCACCTGGCTCCTGGCTTCAGATTGGCACAGTGCGCCACCCACAACACGCTAGCCATAGCGGCCACTTGGGGGGTGAACCAAGGGAAAAAGGAAGACCTTTCTCTGTCTCTCTCCCTCACTGTCTAATTCTGCCTATCCAATGTGTGTGTGTATATATGTGTGTGTGTGTGTGTGTGTATACACATATATATATATTTTTAAAAAAGAAATAGGGAATGATTTCTCCTAAAATGTAGAGTGTCTTGCATTCCATACTTTCTTGGTGTTTTTCAAAAATGTTTATAAAAATGATTTAGGACTAATGAATAACCTGACTGTCATTTAATCTGAGTTCTTCAGAACTTAGTTTGAGATGTGCTTAAGCCAGAGAATCATTGTCTAGTCAGTCATCTCATTTTATTATATGGAGCCAGGTAATAGACGTCTATTTCTTGTTAAGAAAATGCCTACTAAGCCAGCCTTTTTACCCACTTGTATTTAGCAATGCATCCTAGATCATACATGAAAAGGGAAATATAATGTTTAATGCAATCAGCAAACCAGTTTATAAAACTCAACTACTAGCTTTCAAAATTTATGAGTTATTTTGTTTCTTTTTATCTATTAAGTATTTATTTGTATGCTCGGTACAAGGTAGGAATGTAAGAAATTATTCAACAGAAGTTCAGTGATCCTGTCTCATCCCCAATTTTTAGGCTCTTGAAGTAGAACTGGGCAGGGAACTATGCAGACAAACCAGAGTTCCATTCACAAGTACATTTAAAATGAAGTGGTAATGCATTGATTCGAAGTGCTGCAACTTGCAGAAGCTTCAAAGGGTGTGGAAGTCTAGTTGAAACAAGGAGCTGGAGGAGAAGGTGAAGCCAGTGTTTGAATATGTAGAAAGCAAAAGATGCCCACAGAGATGATGTAATATCAAATGTGGAAACAGATCTGCTTGGAGATAGTTGCAAAGTAAAAGATTGTGACTCTTGTTTCTGTATCAGGAGTGGGAAACATATTTCTGCCAAGGCCTATTTGGATATTGATAGCATCATTTGTGGGCCATACAATATGATCAACTTAAACTCAGGCTGCTACAGATTTGTAAATTTCAAGTTCTGCCTACAGCTGCCTTGGCAGGGCTAGACCAAGTGATTCTGCTTGCTTTATGTGGCCCATGGGTCAGATGTTCCCCACTCCTGTTCCCAGATGGAGATTTGGGCTTTCTGTGTTTCTCTTTTTTCCCTACACAATAGTTTGCACCTTTGGCTGTGTTGCCAAGTACGTGGCTGAGAAGTTCCATTTTGCCATTCTCCGTGGAAGTCTTTATAACCCTCTGTGATTCCTTCAGCCTCATTATTCTGGAAACTGGGTATTAGTCTACCTCTTCCCTAGCCAAAAGTGACTGGTTTAAAACAACCCTAATACCTATGAAATATAATCATCATGGGTGAAATATTTGATCATGGGTGAAATAAAGATAATTTCTCCAGCCCACCACCCATAAATTAAAAGAAGAAGGGAAGAAGCAGACAGAGTGAGAACAGAGGAAGAACACACAGCAGGCTCATGAACTAGCATTCTGCTAACATCTGATAGGTCCAGGAGGACAAAATTGGTAGAAGGAGTGTTCGGGGCCAGCGCTATGGCGCAGTGGGTTAACACCCTGGCCTGAAGCACAGCATCTGATATGGGTGCTGGTTTGAGATCCGACTGCTCCACTTCTGTTCCAGCACCCTGCTAATGGTGAAAAACAGCGTGCATGGAAGACGCCTGTGGAACCAGAGGTGGCCATTCACCAAATTAGGATCACCCTGACCAGCCGCAATGTCAAGTCCCTGGAGAAGGTGTGTGCTGACTTGATCAGAGGAGCAAAGGAGAAGAAAAGCACCAGTTCGGATGCCTAACAAGACACTGCAGGCTGGTGCCGCGGCTCAATAGGCTAATCCTCCACCTAGCGGTGCTGGCACACCGGGTTCTAGTCCCAGTTGGGGCGCCAGATTCTTTCCCGGTTGCCCCTCTTCCAGGCCAGCTCTCTGCTGTGGCCCGGGAAGGCAGTGGAGGATGGCCCAAGTGCTTGGGCCCTGCACCCCATGGGAGACCAGCACCTGGCTCCTGCTTTCGGATCAGTGCAGTGCACCAGCCGCAGAGTGCCAGCCATGGCGGCCATTGGAGGGTGAACCAACAGCAAAGGAAGACCTTTCTCTCTGTCTCTCTCTCTCACTATCCACTCTGCCTGTGGAAAAAAAAAGACACTGCAAATCACTACAAGAAAAACCTCTTGTGGTCAAGGTTCTAAGACATGGGACTGGTTCCAATATGCTTGTGTCTTTCCAGAGAATGCGGAACAGCCCATTTGGGTACCAGCCAAAAACATCAAGCCTGCAACTGACAGCCAACCAGAACCAGCTGAACAAAACTGAGAGTCCGCCTTGTTAGTGGATGCACCTGCCCTATCATGCTACCCTGAGAAACTGCCCATAGCCACATCCATTACTGTTTTATACCCACTAGTTCTGGTCAGCCACTCAAACGGCCCACAGCCTGTGTGCAGTCATGCCATCCTGATTACCATTGTTCCTCATTCCTACCCCCATCTGAGCAAGTACTCCTGTGGTCTCCTATTTTGAGTGCTGGTCAATGATGGGTAAGATCCCCTGGGGGACAACCTAAGACAGGCACAGCTGCTTATGGAGTCCACATGGAAATGGAGTCAATAATGGTATGGCCAAGAATCATACCTCCCATTGCTCAAAAATAAACAAAAAGGGGGAAATGTGGTGGAATGAGAAGGCCATGACAAGATGGCCACTGACAACAGAAACTGCCTGGCAACAGACTGTGATTGGATGGCTTTGGAAACTGGCTGGCAACAGGATGTGATTGGTTAGGGCATAGACCACCCCTTGACCAGATTGGCTGCCTTGGCTATATAAGCTACTGTAGCATCTGAAATAAACGAGTCTGCAGGCTGCTTGCCTCAGGCCTGCTTTCACCCAATTCCCAGGGTCTGTGTGGTGACTCCGCACCTCTTGCCCCCACCATGCTCCTCCTCCCAGAAACAAATCCACAGCAACAATCGTGGGTGAAATATTTGATCATGGGTGAAATAAAGATAATTTATCCAGCCTGCCACCCATAACAAACTCAGACTTCAGCTTTCCATGTTATCTGTTACTATAGGAACCACCTCGCTAAATGCTTTGAGGCAATAATATCCAGGGAAAGTAAATGGCATATTAAAATTTCTGTAATTAGTAGCTCAGCTAGCATTTTAAATTTAGGACTTCTGACAGCTAGTCCCAGATCCCCTTCTGCAAAAGCATCCTGAAAAGCTTCCAGGATGAGAGATTTGCGGATTGAAATGGGATGACTTTCCATGTAAAGGAGCAGGACCAATAAAGAACAAGTAGGAAGATACAGTTGGGCAATAGTAATTATCTGATAGTGGCTGGAACACAGATGTGCATTTAGGGAGAGTGGAAGTTAGTGTTAAAGCTAGTTTTTTTAAGGTTTATTTATTTGAAAGGCAGAGTTACAGAAAGCCAGAGGCAGAAAGAGAGAGGGAGAGAAAGTTAAAGTCTTCCATTCCACTGGTTCACTCCCCAGTTGGCCACAACAGCTGGAGCTGAGCCAACCTGAAGCCAAGAGCCAGGAGCCAGGAGCTTCTTCCAGGTCTTCCATGCAGGTGCAAGGGCCTAAAGACTTGAACCATCTTCCACTGCTTTCCCAGGCCATAGCAGAGAGCTGGATTGGAAGTGGAGTAACCAGGACTCGAACTGGCGCCCATATGGGGTGCTGACACTGCAGGCAGTGGCTTTACCTGCTATGCCACAGTGTCAGCCCCTAAAGCTAGTTTTTAAAAAACATTTATCTTATTTATTTGAAAAGTAGGGTTACAGAGAAAGAGACATAAATTTTCCATGTATGGTTCACTCTCCAAATGGCTGTAATGATTGGGACTGAGCCAGGCCAAAGCCAGGAGTCAGGAGCTTCTTTTGGGTCTCCCATGTGAGTGCAGATCCTCTGTTGCTTTCCCAGGTGCATTCACAGAGAGCTGGATCAGAAGTGGAGCAGCCGGGACTCAAACCAGCACCCATG